GCACACAGATATTTATTCTTTTTGTGGAGCAACTGATAAAAATCAGTTAAAAAAAAAAAGATAGACACACATACTTCAATGATGTATTTGTACCCTGAACTAAAATGTGGGACTCAGTGAAGAGGCATCTTTTGTTGTTATTATTAAAATTATTTGTATTAATTTCATAAATTTCAAATGTTTTTGTCACCAGGAAATACTATAGTAAAAATAAAATATCTTGTTTTAAAGATTTCTAAAAGTTGTAGATATGCATAATGGTGAATGATATTAACATAGAAACAAATGACTAGAGAGCATTGGGGGACGTTTAAGCTTACCCTTTTCTTGATATCACACACGACCTACATTTTAAAGAGCAAATTTTGCTGCCCAACAGAAAGAACACAAGTCTCTGATCTAATATCCATGAGTTAATTGAGAAGGCAAACTTGCAATCTCCATTGGATAGGATAGAACCTTGTATAATTAGGCAATGCAAGAAACCTCACATGTACAATATAATGAGAACATAAGGGTGCATGTTACTATTACAGAAAGAACATTTAACGTCCTGTGAGATCTCCAAGCTCCCAGCAATTATTAACTAAGGGGAGTCTCACCAATAATTTTTAAAATGTAAAACTTACCCCCACCTCCTCTAGTCTGGCCTCTTTTGTAAATTCACTGTGTGTCCCTAAGTTAGTCTGCTGGAAGTCCTTGATCTTTAACTGCTTAATAACTTCCGATACTGGCTCAAGTATATTATCCCTCTTATTTGAAGAGGGTAGTTTAAATAGCTCCCTCTTCAAGATTATCAGTCCTACTTCTCTACGTCTAATATAGTGGGTCTGATTTGATAGTGGAGTAGGATTTCACCACAGGGCAGGAAGAGATGGCTTACATCCTTCAAATTGCCCTGTATGTTCCCCTTGAGCTTGAGTTGAGGGGTGAACTGAGGTCATATGCTTGGAACAGAAGTCAGAATGGATGTGAGGAAAAGCTTATCAGCGCTATAATACTTGGGGGAAGAGCTATTTGTGATATCATATTTTAAGTAGGGGTATAATCTGAAATTAGGTGGGAGGTGAAAACCAAGAATAGCCATATTACCTCTGAAAACATGGAAGTCACCCGTAAAGTTACAAAGATGCATGACCAAAATTTATGTGTCGGGCTTGAAGTGGGCATACTGTTTCTTATTGAGTTTAACCCTATGGGTAGTTGTTTTCCCAGCAATAAAAGCAGAGCACTGATTCTTTAGTGATGAAGCTCCTGTAGTAGACTCACATTTAGGAAACATTTGTGGTCTTTCTTTGAAGACTAAATTTAGAGTCAGGGCTATGAAATGCTTATAGTGACAGGCATATGCTACCTTAAACCAGCTGTAAAGGCTCACCGTGTGACCCTTGTTCTTTTCTCTCTGGGGTGTAGGCTAACTGAGCACAGGAAGACAGAATCCTTACACTGTTTAAGTTATTCTCTTTCCCTTCTTCCTTCTTTCCTTTCCTTTTGTTCTCTTTAAAACTCTTCTTCACCTTTTCCATATGAAAACCTATAAATTCGCTTCTTGAAGAATATTAATGTTTCTTAACAGAGAAACTGTATAAACTTACCATGGTGAGGTAAATATAATGGGGCTTTCAAAGGAAACATAAAACAGGGGAATGATAAGGTGAAATAGTAGAGGGGGAATAATGAGAAGAGGGGAATGACAGACTTGTCCCTGGAGAGTGCTCCATTCATATGTGGTGTGGAGCTTGCCAGGGACTAGCTTTGTGACACTCTGTAGGAACTCTGGGTCTCCTTCCCCAGACTCCCAAATATGGAATGACCTTTAGGTCAAAAAGTTGTGCAGTGAATTTCCAGTTATGGCAACAGAATATGGCACGTCCTGAATAATGTTTTATTTAGAAAAACTTTCTGAAGTCAAGGGAAGTAAATTTGATGACACTTTTGGAGTGATCTTTCCATCAACCATAATTGAACCTATTTTCTATACTAGATGCTTAAGATACAAAGATATCTTTAAAGGCATTCACAGGTGGTGAGACATTACAAAGTGTACTTTCCTTGTGGAAGACTCACAATGTTAAGGTCTGCTTTGAGTGAGAAGGATCACAGTGATTCTTAGTAAACAATCATGATTAACAAACCAATGAGACCCATCTAATTTCATTTAAGTAAATCATAACATGTGGGAGATTATTAATTTCTATTAGCATTTGACTCACAATGAATAATGTGCTGAACCAGAATGACTGGAATAGAATAAAATTAATTTTTTCATATGTTAAGAAAGTTTATTTTTAAAAGAAGATGGTTTCAAATTGAGAAGATTAAGAATTTAAGTATTATAATACCCAAATTCAAAATTAAACTTAAAAGAATTACATCAGTGGTAATTAGTGAAAATAATGTCAAAATTACTGCAGATATAGGGAATTTCTGTGAATAATATCTAGATGGAAAGGCTGAGATTAATTATATTAGAAGATTGGTGATCTATTGGGATAAAATTGAAAAGGCTAAATATGTTGTAAGAAGACTTACATTGAACGTATTGACCATTTTGTATACATTTTTTTTAGTAGGAAAAGGATGGAGATTAAATTTTATTTTGTTGAATTCTGGAATGAGTTTTTATCTATGTTAAGTGGATTTATGTCCTGTGATGTGGAGTAAATTTTTAATAACTGGTCTACTTTTTCTCTTAGGAAAAAAAAGGCTCTGATTTGTGACTAATAGTTAAAGTATGAATTTCAATGTACAGATTTTAAAAGTCACCCAAATCAGATATTTAGGTCACTTGAAACAAAAGAAGCTATCACCCAGAGATGTGATCTTATTTCTTGTCACTTCATTTAGAACACTTACAATTCATGACAACAAACATGTATAAAGCCCTCACGTAGTGTTAGACATTCTTCGAAGCACTTTACATATATCAACTCACTTAATCTTCAAACAAAAATCTGTTTTATCAATGAGAAAACTAAGGCATAGGGGAGTCAAGATCATATGGTGACCCTATGGTAGCATGGAATTAAAAAAAAAAAACAAAACAGAATGGCTCCAAAGTGGCCTTGTTTAACCAAGGCTCATGCTGCCCCTAAAAGTATTTAGAAAGAAAGCTACCAGAAAGACTTAATGCAAGGTCAGCATTACCATTGTGAAAGTTCCTATGGACTGGAAAGATAGACTGAAAAATAAGAGTTTGAAACAATGAATGAGAAAAGCAATAAACGTCACTAATAACTGATTTTCTTAATATTGCCTGTTTTATAAGAAAAAAATCACCATGAAGGAATTATTGAGTTAAAATATAGTTTACTGCTATAATAATATCTTTTATGCAATGTGATATATCCAAAATTACTATGGAGAAATTATTGTCACCAGAGAAATGAGTGAAAATTGTGGTTGCACAATTTGGTGACTACTCAATTTGTATCTTTGCGAGAGAAAATTTAAAAAGAATAAAGAAAATGATTAAGCAATACTTCAAAAGAAAGCCAACCGGCATCAGAAGGCTGAAGGAATTTCTTATTTCCACTGTAGGGATCAGCCAAATTTTATCCAGAATCATTAAGTAATGCTGGGGCTGAACTGCCCTTTGATTTAATCTGCTGGTGTAAATCCTATTTAATCTCACAATTAAAACTTAAGAAGGGATTGTTTGTTTATGCAGAGGATGTGAAATCCTTCACATTCATAAGTGAGATGTTGTTTTTTTTTTCTCTCTCACAGAAGTCAGAAAGTTTAAGACAACCTCAGAGTTGGTGTAAGCATGGAGATAGGATTTCTAGGTTTCTGGAGAACTCAACTGAGAAGGGCTGTTCTGTGTGATCTCTCATCCTGGAACACTCTTCTCGTGGATCTCCACCAGGTGACCACTCATTACCCAGCTCTTTGTCTTCTCTGAGAGGCCTCTTTAAAATAGTATCCCTGCCCCGGTCATTTTCTACACCATTTCTCTGCTCTAGTTTGCTAATGGAAGTTCTCAGTTCCTAATATTATTCCTTCACTTATTTATTTGTTTAGTTGTCTGTCCAGCCTACGACAAAGAAGTCAGAGTTGGCATCTGCTTTGTTTGCTGTTGTATGCTCAATGCCCTTGAATGGTAGGTACTCATTCTGCATTTCTGGAATGATTCAAGGCTAATTCAGTGTGGGAGGTGTGCTAGTTTTATGATAGAACAGTGGTGATGCTTTGGGCAATATACCAGATGTAGGAGCGCATCAACTCGGGTTTCACCGTCTATTCAAGGTCTACAGGAAAGCAAAACTATGACTTCAAATAACTCAAGCTGGGATGGGATTAGTATCTCATGGGGGAAGGCTGAGCTAGTCTATTAACTTTTTTTTTTTTACTTTTTAAAATTAGTGCAGGATAGTTAGACATAATAGTGGGATTTATTGTGATATAGTCATAAATGGATGTAACATAGTTTACTCCATTTCAATCCCCAGTACTTTTTCTTTTGGACCCATCCTTTCTCTCTTCCATACCCTCCCTCTATTGTATTAGTCATCTTTCTATTTATTTTCAGTTTCATATAAAATTGGAATGCATTGTGATATATTCATACATGCACATAGCATAATTCCCTATTCTTTTCCTTTTCTTCCTCTCTTCCCTTTGTCTCCCACTTGTAGTCTACTGATCTCTTTTCTGTTCTTGTGAAATCACTTTTCATTATTATTATTATTATTATTATTATTCCTTTTATCTTTCTAGCTTCCACAAATGAGAAAAAACATTCAACCCTTGAATTTCTGAGTCTGGCTTATTTCACTTAGCATGATTTTATTCAGTTCCACTAACAATTTGCAAAAACCCAATTTGTTTCATTAACAAAAATTTGCTCCTCATTCTTCTTAGGTATATAGTCACATTTACTTTGCCTAGGGGGATTTGAGAGATGGGAAGCAAGTCATCTTCAGAGTTTTTATGCTATTACATGTTATATGGTACTTAGGACATTGCTTAATTATTATAATAAACATTTGTGCACTGACCTTTTTATCCCTCCAAATGTTTGTGCATGACCTAAAAATTTTCCAAAGTCAATATGAAACATGTGGCCTGACTTTATCAGCATGATATTATCATTGTGACGGTCACAGACGCCCAGGATGAACGTTACCACACACCAGCCAGCGCAGGAATAGAAAAAGTTCCTCAAGGCCTAATGAATTGAGAAACAATAACACAAAAATAGAAAAAAAAAAAGTGAGAAAATGTGTTAGCCTCAGAGATAATGGTAAAAAATAAACGAGAAAAGCAAAATTTTACACAATTGAGAACAATTTCTGTATCTTAACAGAGAGAAGGGCCTGGATAAGTGGCTGATTCTTGATATGAGATAGAAGATCATGAAGCAATCTCCTCTTTCCCATTCTTTTTCATGAAAATTGGGGAAAAGTGTCTCATTCACATGGAGTTAATTTTCTTAGCTTGCTGGAGAGGATTTCTGTATTTTTTTTTGATGCCTCAACTATACAATATTGAATAATTTTTTTTTCAAAATAAAAGAAGAAAAACCAACATGGACCAACACTGTCTTTCCACAGAGGCAACATTTAAAATATTTTAAATACCATTTTTAAATATTTGAATTTTGGGGACACAGAAAACCTATACTGAGTTACTAGTAACATCTTGTTTACCCTTAGGTTATCCAGTTAATTTCTGAAAGTATTTCAGTACAATATACATTAGAGAATGTCTGTGTGGCTAGAAGCAGATTACCACTAAATTAATTGTGGCTTATGCTTCTTTAATAATCAGAGATTTCTTTCCAAAAATAGTCCACTACCCCCACCAAAAAGTGGTCTTAGGAACATGCATCACGTTCATCAACTTTGTGTAACCATGAGGGGTTGGTTGTGTAAAGGTTACAAGTATCCCAGAATGACATGGAAAACTTGCTGGAGTGGAAGTCTGTGACACTGAAATACATGCCAGGACACTTGGATCGCTTAGTTCCAGGGCTTGAGCTCAGGTACCTGATCAAGTCAATTATTTGTCTGTCTAGAATTTCTTCACCTATAAAATGAAGATAGTCACACATTTCCTATACATGGTAGTTGTGTAAAGCAAATGTATGTGGATACACTTCAAAGCATTGATGAGAGCTGTGTGTGCAAAAATCAAGTTGAAATTTTAGGAATAGTTAAAAGGCATATTTTAAGATAATCTCATTATTTGTTATTTGGCACCTAAAACCCTGCTTTTGGCTTCCCTTCAAGTTCATTGTGGTATGGAACAGAGGAATTCCTCAGTCTCCTTATCATGGCCCATGCTGGATAGGGTGAGCAATCATCCCTGTTTTCCCAGAACTGAAAAGTCTCCCAGAATGAGAGGATGTCAGTGCCCAGGGCAGTTCTGACCAAATTAACATTGGCCAGTATTAGAATTTTAGATGAATTAGTGCTCTGGGTTACCAAACTATACAAGTTCATGAGTTGGTAAGTAGAATTAGGCCTGACTCTAGTCACACTCAACCTTCACTCAGGAGCCTAGTATAGAGCAGAAACTGCACGACTGTACATTATAGACCAGATGTCAAAGTGATATAAACTGGGAGCAAAATGTTTGCAGTACATTTTGAAAAGTACACACACACACACACACACACACACACAATTATACATTCTACAAACCATCACAAGAATGATAGGCAGAAAAGCAGAGCAAGTAACAAAGTATTAGCAAAGGAGGGGTGGTTATTTATAGAAATTAGAGATTGTGTACAAACAAGTGGAAATTACTTGAAGGAGGTAGTTTCAAGGGGCCATCATCTTGGGTGAAATTGTTGTAAGAGAGGCAGCTGAGCAAAGAGATGTTTTATTAATGGCTAGGAATTTCACTGAGAATGAAAACCAAACATAGAAATGTTTCATCTCGTTAATATGTCATTTAAACTGTGTCATTATTATGAGACTGATGATGAGAGAATTAGAACTCAAGGTGTACTTAATTTACTTTCCCATGAATCAGAATACCTAATGAACCAAAGCATATTTTTATTTAAGCACATTACTTAAAATTAGTTGCAGCAGGACAGACCTTGTCATAATCGGTCTTTAAGTGGTTGTGCTGGCTGAACCACTTTTTGATGGTGTTTTCTTTCAGGGGTCCTATCAGCCCAGAATGGCGATGGATCTTTGCCAGGGTGATAGCATCAGGCACCATCTGTATTAGTCCTGGTGGATTAGAAAAAAGAGATTAAGGAAATGGTTCTTTCTTCCCAGGATGAGGGAGATTTAGAAAATATGTCTTGATCTATGTAACAGCAACAATAGTTGTCAGGACTATTTGGATTACCCTTTTCCTTTCTAAGACTTCTCTTCTGCAGAAGCCTATCTGGATGGGCTCCTTGTAATTGTTCCTAAATCCCAGGGATCACTTGGGGTTGGATCAGATCTATCATAACAATTTTAATATTTTTTGTAGAATTATGGTAGAGAGCCAATCTAGGCGATCTCTCAGAGTCCCCACTGAATCAACAGAAGAGAGGATTAGGTGTCATGACTGGGACACCCATTGCCCTGTAAGGGAGGACATTTGAGCTTATATGACCAAAATATTTCTGCCTTAAGTGAACCCAATGCAAATCTCCATAAACAACATTTAAAATATATTATAAAAGTCAATGTTCATATTAATAACAGTTAAATGTTACATTTCTTCTAGGGAAGAGAATGTTTTCAGTAAACACATGGAAGCCACCTGCTCCTTCCTTTCCAGTTCACATTAGAGAGAAACTATAAGAAGGAATTTTTTTAAGGGAAGCATGTGTTGATTGAACTTAAGTAGGACCTTTGCTCCAGTGGCCAAGGTTTTTTGCGTTGTGCACCAGAGGTTATTAGCATGTAAATATTTTCAAGGCTTCTAATTTTCAGTGTGTACAGAATAGCAATTAAAACTCAGTGCTTAAAACTCTCCCAAGACAAATGTCCCAAAACACCCCTCAGTGCAGAGTTTTATAAATAAAATCATTGAAAGAAATTAAAATACAGAGTTCTCATTTCCATAATCTGCACAAGTGTAAGAGCTGCAAACTCAAATGCCCAGAGGGACCAGGGACACAGATATAACTGTACAAATAGAGAGATGATTGAGTTTTAAAAATTAAATATTCTTTTGAACAGCAGATACTCAATATCAGTCTTGGAACCTGATGAAGAACATAACTTAATCTTCTAAAAAATGACATTTGTTTTAATCTCTATTTTTCTTCAAGAAGTGTTTTATTGGTGTCATGTCTTATACAATCTGATATTCATAGAAGCTTGTCAGTAGAAGGTGGGGGACTTGTTTGTTTTATGGCATCTCCGACTTTGGGCAAGTCTACGGTAATATTTTGCTGAATTCTTTTATAAACTTGAAGAGATTTTTTTTTTTGCCACAATTACATTCTGTGATTATAAACAGATCTGAATGGATGGAACTGAAGAATTCCATTGGGATCAGTGATTTATTCAATTTATGAAGGAAAGGTGATCTGGGTTACATTAAAAAGCTCAGCCTGGCTCATTTGGCTTTATTTTTACTTCTTTAGTATATGAGGATATGAAAGAATTAGGTCTCTGATGTGAGAAAAGGGAGGTCAAAACTTAAGAAATAACAATCTCACAGTAACAATAAAAAAATTTTTTTTGAACTAAAGCTTTAGAATGGGTCCAGAGATGGGACATTGGGCATGGAAACAAGAGTTCTACTATCAGAATCAAAATAATTTGGTGGTATGACTTATTATTGAGCCACTTTGAGGTATTGGGTTACAAGGAAAGGTAGCTTGGAGGCCCTTCTATCCTTCGTATTCAAGTCTCAAGTCACAGTTGACCTTGAGTCTGTTGGGCCCTCAGGAACTGAGGAATAAGGCAGTGATAGCTCTTTGGGGTTGACTGACAGGTTTAAAGTGTAGCTCTTTTTGAATTTTAAAAAATTAACTACACAGAGTAGGTCCCTTGTGCAGGGATATGGTTTCAGCCCTCTGTTTACACACATGTATGTGTCTGTTATAATTCATACAGATTATAATGAATTCTAAATGGCCGTGTTCTTATGTAAAAGTGATTATGATATATTGGGAATTGTTTCTTCAATTTAGCATGATTGTAATTAAGAACAACTTTCATCTGATGCTTTGGTCATAATTTGGGTGTACATTATTTCATTGAAAATGAAACTATGTTTCCCTATTAATTTATTGGCTTTTATAAAGGAAAAGCAAAAAGTGCTCACAGTTTGCATGTGTGACCGCTTTTGAGTTGATATTATATCTTCTCAAAAGTCTTAGAAATTAGAATTTTCAGTTCTGTTCTAAATATATAAAATTTATGTTAACATTAAGGTAGTAACTGTATTTGTTTAGAATGAGTAGACTTTTCTATTACAGATGGTACCTGACTTATGATGATTTGACTTAGATTTACCTAATTTACAATGGTGCAAAAGTGATATGCATTCAGTAGAAAACAGTACTTCCAATTTTCAATTTTGGTCTTTTCCTGGGCTACCTCTATGTAGTACAGTACTCTCTTTTGATGCTGGGCAGAGGCAGTGAGCCATAACTCCCAGTTAGCCACATAATCAAAAGGATGTACAACAGATACTCTGTGGTGCATCGTGCTGATGAAGTATGTTTGGTAGGTTAGGTGTGTTAAATGTATTTTTGACACAGTACACTTTCACTTTATGATGGCTTTATCAATGCATAACTCCATTGTAAGTCAAGAAGCATCTATATTATCTAAGGAAATGAGGAAAAAATGAGTTCTTAGTGTAGCTGTTTTCTTCTTTTGGTACCAGTGATTAAACTCAGGGGCACATTACCATTGAGCCATATCCCCAGCCCTGTTTTGTATTAAAGACAGGGTCTCACTGAGTTGCTTAGTGCCTCACTTTTGCTGAGGCTGATATTGAACTCAAGATCCTCCTGCCTCAGCCTCCTGAACCGCTGGGATTACAGGCATGTGCCACTGTGCCCAGCTATAGCCAACTTCTTAAAATACTCAAAAGAACATCACAATTAACATTTGAATTTGAAAAGGTCCAATTACTATTTAAAAGCATGTTATGCTTTATATAAATTTTGGCTTATCAGTTTTGAAATTTCTTCTTCTTCATTTTTTTTTGTACTGGGGATTAAACCCAAGGGTACTTTACCACTGAGCTACATCCCCAGCCTTTTTTTTGTTTGTTTTTTATTTCGACAAAGGGTCTTGCTAAGTTACTTAAAGCCTTGTCAAGTTGCTGTGGTGGCTTTGAATTTGCAATCTGCCTGCCTCAGCCTCCAGAGAAAATTCTTCTTTTAGAAAGGAAGAATTTGTATAGTTCTTTGGATTTTTGAATTTGTACTCTAAAATGAAAGCTGTAGAAAGTTTTGTGGCATATTATCAGTGAATGTGTGAGATGAATAATGTAAGTTGACTCATTTTTTAATTTATACTGACCTTGGTTTTTTCCTGTGGATAGACATCTATAAATGATCATTTGCATATCTAGGCCTTCCTGCAGCCAAATGTTGTCCATCACTTGAATAATCTGCAGAACAAGCATATCCTGGCGAAGATCATCTCCAGCCTGTTAGAAACAAAATTATAGACTCTGAGTTTCTCCTTGAGTTCCATTAAAAGCATTCAAATATGGTATATGTCATTTCTTTTCCTGGATACATTTCCAGCCTGACTTAGACTGGTTTCACGTGTTTTATTAGCACTAAAAGTACCTTATGTTTCTGATAGAATACCAAAGAAAACAAGAACTTCCCTTAACATGATTGCAGAAGACACCAAATTAGAAAGGCTGCTTGGAATGTTGTTCCTGATAATAATCTTTCCATTTATTATCTGTGTGCGATTTCTCAGATTTCTCAGAGTCTAGTGAAGAGAGGGTGAACAGATGTTTACCCAAATTTCAAATTTCACCAAGAGATCTGTTTCTAAGTGAAGATCATCTGGTATGCATAAGCTTATGCACTGATACATAGTTGGAAAACGAAGAGTTTTTGACTTAGTAAATAGTACACGCATGATTCAGCAGATTGTGTCAATGATTTCTCTTGTTATGAGGCAGTTAGTTTTTGGAGAGAGAGCTAACTTTGATAATAATAAGAAATGATGAAGAGGTGATTTTTCCAGGAAAGGTGAAGGAGTTGCAGTATGTCCAAAGGGGAAGGATACTACCACGCTCCCAAACAAATAAACCGTTAGATTCCGAAAATGTTTTCTAAATTATACACAGAAAATCTTGACAAGATGGGAGTTTGTGGAGTTTTTTCCTTTCTGAAAATACAGCATTGAGACCCACAAACAATTGAGGTTACAAAGGTCAAAGCAGAAGTGTAGGCATGATAATCCTCATTCTTAAAAATAGACAGTCAGAATCCACCAAAGATTCACTCTGAGACCTTGTTGAATAATTGACTAAATTAGCTGGATGATTGGCAGTCTTACTTGTTACCTAACAGTTCTCTCATTAGTCCTTCTTTCCTACCAGTCTATAACTCTGATACTCCCTTTTATTCTTTTTTTTTCCCCCTATGGCATTTACGATGAGAACGGAACCTGTATCTATTTCCTTTGTATTTGCAAAAAAATAAAATGATCCAATTTATTAAAACAAGCAAGTACTTTCAGATAAAAATCATATGTTAAATTAATTGACATCATTTGTGTTACCACTAATTGTGATTCTAATTCAGTGTCAAAGCCAAAAGAAAACTTTCCTCTTAAGGGCTAACCATACACTCGACTTTCTGTGCAACTAAAAAGTAATCACATACTTTCATTTATTTAAGTATATTCTTAAGTTCTGCACTGAAAGTTCTCTGGATTTGAGCCAGTAATATTTGATTTATTGCCAATCATACTTTGGCATGTATTATAATTTTGTAAAAAGGCAGAATCTAAAATAATTGAGAAATCTCTGTTGTTGCCAGAGGAAAATAGCTGTAATCATTTCTTCTTGTGAGTAATAAATCAATAGTTCTGCTTATAGAATCAATTTGATGTTTTGGAAGGGGTACAGTACCTTGAAAATAATGCTGATGTTATTGCCCATTGGATTAGCATTGATGAAAGTAATCTTCAATGGCAGAGCATTAGATGTGAAATATGAACATGCCTATAGGAAGACGAGAAAAATGGTGAATGGAATAAAGCAAACATAATCGTCTTTCCTATAATCATAATCCTCTGCATTATTTAGTATATGAACAAATAAAACACATATAAGTAATTTTTACACTTTGGAACAGAGAAACGTATTTATTAAAAACAAGTAAACTTTAGTCTAACAATCGATTCCTTTATAGCAGTCCGCTTTTCTATAAGGTTTTGCATTTTGCAGTTTAAGTTTACCTTTAGTTAACCATGGTCTGAAAATATTAAAAGGACACATTCCAGAAAGAAATATTTTTAAGTTTGAAACTACATACCATTCAGAGTAGTGGGATGAAATCTTACATCATGCCACTCCACCATTCCCAGTATGTGAATGATTCACATACATTCATTTTTTGCAGTATATTCCCATTGTATATGCTACCTTCCTGTTAGTTAGTAGCCTGTTTGATTTTTAATCGACCTTTGCAGTATAGGCAGTGCTTGTGTTCAAGTAACCCTCATTTTGTTTATTAATTACCGAATACATGAAAGTGGTAATGCTGTAATTTTATTATAGTGTATTGATGCTGGCAGTTTTATTACAGCATATTGTTATGATAGTTCTATTTTATTATTAGTTATTGTTATTAATCTCTTATTATGCCTCATTTACAGATTAAACTTTTTCATAGGTAAGTATAAGAGAAAGTATAGTATATGTAGGGTTTAATACATCTGTGATTTCAGGCATTCACTGGGGGTCTTGGAACATACTTTTGTGGGTAGGGGGAATACTATCTCATACATTTTGGTAACAGATATATGAGCTAATGCATATAAAATACCTTACACTGTGCCTGACACTAGTCAAGTACTTTTAAATTTTAATACATTTCTTTGTTGTTGTTGTTGTTATTTCAGTTTGAAACTGAAAAGCCAGCTTTTTAGCAGGTTGTAAATCTTCAACTACAATTTTTCTTCACTGAGCATCTGTAGTGTTATATTTAAGGTTTAAGTAAACTAGGAAGTATGTAGGTATTGTGTTTGTACTAGTTGGTTAATAGGTAAATGTTAAAATTGCTATCTTCTTTGATTTTTAAAATTTTAATTGGTTATATATGACAGCAGAATGCATTATAATTCATATTACACATATAGAGCACAATTTTTCATATCTCTGGTTATATACAAAGTAGAGTCACACCATTCGTGTCTTCATACATGTACTTAGGGTAATGATGTCCATCTCATTCTACCATCTTTCCCACCCCGATGCCCCCTCCTTTCCCCTTCCTCTCCTTTTCAAACCCTTTGCCCCATCTAGAGTTCATCTAATTCTCCCATTCTCCCATGTCCTCATCCCTACTCCACCCCGCGATTATGAATCAGCAGCCTTAAATCAGAGAAAAAATTAAGCATTTGGTTTTTTTTGGGATTGGCTGACTTCACTTAGCATTATATTCTCCAACTCCATCCATTTACCTGCAAATGCCATTATTTCATTCTCTTTTAATGCTGAATAATATTTCATTGTGTATATATATCATATTTTCTTTATCCATTCATCTAATGAAGGACATCTAGGTTGGTTCCACAGTTTAGCTATTGTGAATTGTGCTGCTATAAACAAAATTATTTCTGTCCTACAGCACACTTTAAGGAAACAGAGATACAGAGTTAAGAAAGACTTGAATTCAAATCTGAGCTCTGTAACTCATTATTTGTGTGACCTCAAGTAAGTTACTAAATGTATTTGTATTCTACTGTAAAAATGAAGATGACAATGCTAACCTCCTACATTTTTGTAATATATGAGCTAGTTGATATAAAATACCCTCACTGTGCCTGTCATTAGTCAGATACTTTGAAAGAAAAATACATTTCTTTCCCACTTGTTAATGAACATTTTGTTTATGAATGACAGCATAACACATATTTGCTTTCCTCATTTCTATCAGTTACATTTTGAATTTTCATTTTCTGCCTTACAATATTGATTACTTTACATTCTCCTTATTGCGAATATCCCTTTCATTTTATTTACAGTTGTTTGAGTGTTGAAAGGTTGTTTGTGTTTGGACTCCTAGGAGTTCATGTTGAAAGTGAAGAGTTAAATCAATACAAAAGCAAGGAAAGGGATTTGATGCTTTCAGTTTATCAACTTAGTAAAATACGACATCAATACACATTGAAGGATCAGTTTAAATGCCATTATCTTTAAGATATCTGACATAGGTATAAACTCAGAGGAAAGGATCTATTGCTTAACTTTTTTCTCAACCTAAACCTAACCTAACCTCTGAGAAAGTATAACCCCTTGCTTAGTGAATCAATTTTGAGTTTTAGAGTTCCATGGGTGAGACTGCTTGTTAAACATGAATTTCTACTATGAGAATCAATTAATTAGGGACCACGTGACCCTGTCATGAAATAGAGTTCAGAAATTCCATATGAGGCAAAAAGTGAGTCTGGATTAGAACTTTTCAAACCCTTTACTCCAATTTGGGGGGATCTCTTTGAGGAATCTCAAGTCCAGGGGTAGACAAAAGTAAAAGGGAAACTGAGTCAGGGCTTAGCCCCCCTCTTCTTAACTATATCATCTATAGCAATTCTGTTTTCATTGTTTCATCCTTGGTTTGCACATGTAGTACATTTTTTGAGGGTCATATCAAAAGTATTATATATTTAACAACTAATATGCACAAACAATTACTTATACTCTTACAGAAAAAAGCATCATATTCACCCTCAAAAAGCTTTCCATATTGATATAAAAGGATATACATATGCATTAAATGAAAATATTTCATAAGGCAATTTATTACAGTTGAATGAAAAAGCATTTGAAGAAGAAGGTGTTTCCAAGGTGACCTGGATCTTGAAGACTGTGAGGAACATTAGCTTAGCAAATAGGCTAAACAAAATAAACCAAAAAAGGAGGTTCTAAGTAGGGAAAGGCAAGCAATGAGAAACTATATCAGAGCAGAATTTAAAAATTGGATTGGGATAACTACAGTCGAGAGACAGGAAAGAGTGCATCAGTTTTACAGAACTATTTTATATAAATGGTAAAATAGAAAAACTGAAATAGAGAAAGAGAGATTTGATATACATCTTAAAACAGTTGAAAAACAGAGAGCCTTATTTTTATTTTTCAAAATATGTTTATAAGCATATCAGGAAAATTTGTAGGATATCTTGGTAGTGAGAGAGGCAGGAAGATGTTGGTATCAAGTTTTTAGCAAACCTGTTTGCATTTATACTAGCAATAGTCTAATTCTTCTCTAATTATTTTGTTTATTTTCTTGACTGTCTGATGATTTCCCTTAAAAATTATTCATTGTGAATGCATGATTCCTTAACCTCTTCACTTTGAAATCTCACTTATCAATAATTTCTTTATTAGTGTCTTTCTAGTCTCTGGTTTTTGAGAAGGAGGAAGTAAAACTTTACAGGAACGAAGGAAAAATAAGTACAGTGGTAGAGGATGTACCACATGACAGAGGATTAGGAAGAGAAGGCTTAGGAGGTTGTCAATCTGATAGTAACTAGGAAATGCTTTCCAGATATGACTAAAATCACAAGTGTATGGCATACTGACATATGGGTACCAGTTAATTTTAAATTGAATAAAAATGGATGTGATGTAGTTAATAATTAACATTAGTGTACTAAACATGACTGTATGCATAGTCTAAATAAAGCATGAAATTATAACCAACTTTCCCAGCTGGTCCATCCCTTAGTGACTCAAAGGGAAATAGGGAATGGTCCATGCATGGGGATCACCAAATCAACCACTTTAAATGAAGTAAATCAATTCAATAAGAGAAGTACCTTTCTTAATTTTTTTTTTAAAAATGAAAACAAAACAACAAACCATACAAGGCCAAGGAGATCCCAACTGGTCATAGTATGTCAAATAGAGAAAGCACACACACAGTGCAGATTGGATTCAATTATTTTTTCTTTAAAATAATTGTAATGTCAATTTATGAATTCTTTATGTCATCCCAAAAAAATATATGGTAAACTAAACAACACAAAACAGAAATATTCAATTTATCTACTAAGTTGACTTACATCACGATTAATCCCTTTTATACATAGCGCAGGGTTCAGAGGAAGATGACAGCTATTGATGTCTTGAAAGAATTGTTCTAGTCTGCCAATCTCTTTCCTTAGTACCTCCTATGGAAAAAGTCATTTGAAAAAAAAAAAGTATTTAAGAAACCAGACACTTATTCTCAATTATAGTCTTCTTCTATTGGTTAAATAAACTCTTCCATTCAGAGACAGCATACTCAGATGACTTTCGAGCCAGGCAGGTGATGAAGTCATGTATCAGGAGGCAGTGGACTAAAGAAAATATTAGGGAAAAGGGGAAACCAAGAGTGCATGCCCTTTCTCAATGACTTAAAACTCAGTTAAAAGCAAATACCAATTAAGGCGCTATTCTGTTCAAACAAAACACAATGGGTTGGACTTGACCTGTGGCCCACCAATTTGCAACTCCTGCTTAAAGGAATTAGCAACATGATTATTTTTTTTCTGATAATTTTCTGAAATTTTAGTTTATAACTCTCAAGATTTATATTTAATAGAAATAGTGCATTTTAGAACATATTCACATATATTAGTGACAATGACAATTGTACTATGTTGTCAGAAACAATGTTTGAACGAATAATTTACTAGATGCCAATTAGCATATTATTTATGCTTTATATGCAATATAATATTAATAATCCCATTGGTACTCCACAGAAACTGTGGAAGGTCAGAGATCACAAATGACACATTTAGAATTGTGCATCCTTTAAAAAAAAGGTGGAAAACAATCACAATTAATCATAAAACAAAACTAAAAGCTTCTTTTAGTTCAATTTTGAATACTCCTTAAGGTCATATTGAAGATAAAGTTATCAGATTCATAATGTTTAAGTGACTGTCAAAAGTTTCTTAACTCTTACTCTTGGCTCACCAGCAAATAATACAATCTGCTGTTCCCAGAATCTAAAAAGAGCAAGGTAGAGATTGAAGTAAAATTTCACTATGGGAATTTTGTTTCTATCTGCTCTTCTTGCCTTATCTAGATTGGCCTTGCATGCTGAATATCCTGTAGGCAAATCTCTGACCTCTTTGTTTAAGTAAACTTTCTCCAATTTGTATAGTTATGTTAATTAAATGCTTTTTTTAAGTAGTAGAAAAAAAAACTATCAGTAACATAAAAGGGGAGAAACTCTAAAGGCTTCCTTGTGAAGAGTTGTTTTCACAAAAGCTGTCAGTTAAGGCAAGAGAAATAGATTTGGATGGATATTGTCAGTATCACTCTGAAACTTGATGCAAATTGTCAAAAAAAAGGCACTAGGACTAATTAATTGTAGAGTCCACCACAATTATGTGATGGATTTTCAAATATAAGCAATAAAGATCAAATTTATAAACAGACTGTATAAAATTTGGTTTAAAATTAACCAAATTATTTTACTTGCTACCAATCTTTTGTCCATCACTAGAAAACAATTAATGATTTTATATAGCAGTATGAGAAATTACAGAATTTTCAAAATTTGCATTGCCAATTATGTGATTATCTTCAGGTTTCTTCCTTTTAGCCAAATCTTGTATATCTCCCATTTGAAAATGAAATATTTATGCTTTTTCTTTTCCATTTTCTCCTATGTAGGTGAAGTAGCTTAGTTTCTGGCATTTCTATTAAATGAAGTGATTACCAGTAAGAAAAAATTCTGGGACACTTTGCAAATTACTGTTTTCATATCATTTGGTTGAACAATCTTGTTGATTTTAGACAGTGAGTGGAGAAAATCTGAGTTCCCTTGAGGACAAGACTCATGCTTTAGTCATATTTCTTCCTTTAACTTCAAGTCTGTAGTGAGTCCTCAATTGTTATTGAATAATGTTCCTCATACAATGGATGAATGTCCACCATCACCCTGTATGTCAAATGTTGAACTTAAGAGAACCTTCCTTAATGGTCTATATCAGGGAAGGGAACTATTGATGCAGATAATTAAAAAGAGCAAATGTTCTTCTATTAGACCAAGGAAAAGAATAGCAAGGTTTACTATTATAATCAGTGAGAAACAGGCACAGTATTTTAACTATCATCTAAGATCTTTGTAAAAATATCACTATCTGGAACACTATTCATTTGTTTCATTTAGGTCATTTTATATTTGTTTTGAAAAAAAAAGAAAACTTAAGTTGGAGTAGTGCTGCCATTTTAAGATTGTCTCCAGGCTTTTGTGATTAAACTGCCTTTTAGTAGGTCTCTTCTTGTTCTGTCTGTGCCACATGGAACTTATATCACAAAACCATGTCCTGGGTGATAGAAATTAACTTTAGGAAAGTTCAGTGGAAAAGAAAAAAAACTTGGTAAAAGTAATTAAATGTCTTATAATTAAGTATAGTCAAGGGTTTTTTTTTCTAAGCTATGAAATTAAAATTTAATTGAATCAAACTTAAAAATAAAATAATTTTCACTATATTGAGATTGGTTTCTTAACAAACCTGTCTTCGAGGGTCACTTGCAGACTTGACTTTTTCTCCAATATCTCCCAGAATTTTGATGAGTTTCCTCTCCTTAGAAAACTCATCATTCAAGGCTTTTCCTGCACAGAATTGGAGAGCAGCCAACAGCTTCTGATACCAGCTTTTAAAATAAACCTCATTCTGTGCATCTTTTAGCAGCCTGAAGGAAAGAGAGAAAAAGAATTCTGGTATCTACGGCTGATTTTTTAACCACCAGCAGGAGCATTAAGAGCATTTCAGACTAATCGCATGGGTGGCTTTGGGCAGTTTAACAGCTAAGAACGGGAGAAAGGCTGTTTATTTGTGGGCAGTCATCAAATTCCATCTGATAGTTAATGAGATTCCAAGAGTGAAGAATCAATATGAGACCTTGCCTTTTCTCATTTCAATTCACAATGCACTTTTTCTTTCCACCTTCTTAATTCTGTAACAAACACTTATCTCAAGAACATCTTCAACTTATTAAAATATGGACAAAGAGCTTTAGAAATAGTTTTTATAAGTAACTATGCTATGGTGTGACTTAATCATCCAGCATGGCTTCTTTCTTCTTTTCTTTAAATTGTCACATCCCCACACAGTCACATACCTAGGCATTGCTCTGCTCTCCAGCATTTCGCTTGATAACCTGGAGGCAAGAGAATATCTCTGTTTTTCTTTTCTTTTTAAACTTTCAGACCTCTCTGGGCTCAATCCCCAACTCTGTAACTTACAAGTTACATAAATATATTTAGATATTATTTCATCAACTATAAATAAGTTAACTGATTACAGAGAGCTGTAGAGAACATAGAAGGAGCTACATGTTTGGAAAGTGTTTAGCACAATGTATACACTAGGCAATCAAAAGCATTAGTCCATCTGTATGTTGCAGCCTCCCCAAGTTAACTTCTGACTGCCCTGCAGTTTGCTCATGTCATGTACATCAGAGGCACAGAGCACAAGCAAGTAAGAATACTTTGCAAGATAATGGAACAGTGACAAGTATTTGATTACTCTGTCTTCCATGTGACAATTTCTATTGCTTTCACAACAATTACAATGTGCTAAAACTTTTACTTTCTATTATGCCCTAAAACACTGACATAGACTAAGGAAGACGAATTCTTTTGAATCTTAATCTCTTTTAGATTGATTCTTTTAATTCAAACTGGTCTTTAGTTTCCCCCTCTTCTGAAAAATAATAAGAATTTAAGGAACTAGGAGAAAGGAGAATAGACTCCTAGGGGAAGGAGTTGTGTTTGGCATTCATGTGTGTGTGTGTGTGTGTGTGTGTGTGTGTATGTGTGTGTGTATATGAATTCTGAATTTCTAATTTTTCATCTCTGGGTATTCGGTTACAAAGATTCTTACATATTCATTATTTTTATTTGTCCATTGTCTTCTGTTCTTACACACTTAAATTAGTTGAGCAATTATGTACTGCTTGAAAGTGAATGCCTGCTCCTTTGCCATCCATATGAAGCTGGGTATCTTCAAGAACCTCTTTTCCTTTCCCAATGGAATTAAAAACATTTTGTTTCACCAGATAACAGTTCTTATTTATTTTTATAACATATTAAGACACATGTACACACATGTGTATGTGTGCATGCACATACATGCACACACACAAAAAAAACCCTTCAAGGACCCAATGACGAATTATAGGAAAATATACTCTATTGCTGCTTGTGCGTTTTCAATGGAAGAAGACTACATACACCTTGAAAGTTTTCCTACTTAGCCCTGTGATGAAATTTTTGAAACATCAGACATGTAATCAATGAATCACATCATTATTTAGAGACCCTGAAAAACGTGTGTTGCGTGCATGTGAGTGCAAAACTGAAAATGCAAGCATGCACTTGTAAAACTTCAAGACATTTTATGAAGAATCATATACCTCTTGGATTCTTACAGTACTTTGAAAACTGGGTAATGTAGCATTTTATAGTCTAGGAAATAGAAAGTTGATGAATAGAGTATTTCTATATCTTACATCAGTGTTTGCCAGCATTTTTATGTTTTGAATATCGAGTTTCTTGTTTTTTGAAACTTTTTTAACCTGTTCTAGTACATAAATATGACTCTTTAACCACCCAACTCCTGTCTACCTCATAAAAAAGAAGTTGTTCTGCATGGATGAAATTGACAACTTTTTACTGAATGATAGAAAATATGTATTTTAGGGTTTATGTCACAGGGACTGCCAGAATTGTATAGTTAATTTGTGTTCATAATGATCTTATTTCTTATTCTACTAGAAATTAATTTGCTTCTCTCGTGAGCAGTATACTTGCTTCACTCTGGCCCAAGGAGGAAACACTCAGTTTGATTCCTTGTTCAAAATAAAATGGAGTGTAAAAGATTTGCAGAGAGAATATGTGATCGTGTCCTAAAAAACATAAAAGCTAAGAAAACTCAGTGTATTCTACTGTGATTTTTTTTCCCTTGGAAAATGAACTTCATTCAAACCCCGATCCCTGCCAGAATTACATGCTTTCCTGGTGAGATCTGGTACAAGCTCTGTAATAATTTTTATTTGACACGCAAGGAGTTTGTTTTTACATGGCAGAATGGAAATCATACAGGGTTGGCAATGACCAAGAGAGGTCACTTATTCCATTCCTGTACTCTTAGGCACAGATGCTGTTACTGACAAGAAAAATTAACATGGCCCTTAATTTTCATCTGCAGGAAAAGCCATACTACATAGTTTGGGGTGGAGGGTTTCCAGTAGGCTGTCAATGACCTTCCCTATGAGAAAGTGGTGAGTCCCTCATGCTGTGAGTTTTACCCATTTCCTCTGTTAATAAGGCTATGGAAAACAGCTGACCACCATTCTTTAAGTATACAGAAATCCTTTAGAAAGACATTGTAACCTGAGAGAGGCAGAATTGCTTATGCCAAATAAAATGTCTAAAAATAGAAAGTTAAGGCCAAGGGACTGAGGAGTATTAAGAGGGCTTGCCATTAAAGGACTAGTTTTTTGAGATGCGGGCAACATGATCATGCAAAAACTGTGAGGTAAATCTCAAAATTCTAGAGACCTGTTTATCTGAATATCTGCAAGATCCAACTGTATTTTAAATTTGATATTGTTTTGAACATGAGTCTGAGTGCCTTATAGACTGTAAGCTATGGCAACATTAAAAAGAAATAAATGCAGAAAATTTAGAGGATTAAAAGGAGATTTTGACAGTGTGAGATTCCTTAAGCAAAAAAGCAAAGAGTGAAGGAAACATATCTTGGGTGACTGTGCACATTTGTCAGGAGGGTATTTGCCTAAATTAAGTGGATTCTGGTAGACTCAGAGATAGCTAAGACAGTCACAAACCTTAGCCAGCATGAAATGGAGATTTTCCTTGGATATTAAAGCTTTTCTCCATTTCATCATGCATATCGCTACTTCTGGGCACATAGTGATTGACTTGCTAGAGCCACAGGAAAAGTAGAGATAGTTCATATTTCATCAGTCTACCAGCAGGACAGAACAGAGTAATCACACCATCTTTGCTCTCTTTGCCTCAGTCTTGCTCTTAATTTTAGTTCCCAACAGCACAGCATCTCACATCATTGGGGCTGCCTGAGATTTTTATCCACTTGTATATTTCCTGTGGATGAAGAGGGGAAACAGAAGTTCTTTTCTGGTATTGAATGCTTTTTTTCCTTCTTCAAGTACAGGAAATGCATGACTGGGTAAAAATCTCAGGCAGCCTCAATGGTGTGGGATGTTGTGCTGTTATGAACTGTCATTGGTTCATCTTTACTGTGATGAGGGATTTCAGGTCAGCCCTGGACTCCCCCTGCCTATTTTCTCCTGTGTCTCGTGCTATTCTCTGTGGGCTGAGGTATGTGGCTCAGGAGACCAGTGGTTAGTAAGCATAAGGGGATCTAGAATGTGACTTCTTCAGGTGTTCTTAGGACCCCAGGACAGACAAAGGCTGAAGTCCAATGCCTATGTGGAATTTTTAATTGTAAGATTTCAACAGTGCAATTAACAAGTAAAATGGTATCTCTTTAGCAGTACCTGTTGGGTGCAGAGCAGGCTGAACTGTGTTGTCTGCAGAGCAGGCTGAACAGATGTTGGCTGCAAGATAGTCCACGCACTCAAACCCCCCTCTATCTGGTCCTTTATCACCTGTTTGTGTCAAGTCCCGCTCAAGGCTGAGCACTCAACCCCCCTCGGGCCAACAAGGCAGCTTGCAGACCCAGAGGCCCCATTAGATTTGGGCTATAAAAACTCCCTCCTGCCAGGCCCCCCTCTCTCTTGCTCTCTTTCTCTTGCTCTTTCTCTCTTGCTCTCTCTCTATTCTTTCTCTCTCTCTCTCTCCTTCCTTCCTTCTTTTCTCTTTGTTGCACTGCTGCAATAAAGATCTTTTGGTTGCTCCGAGTGTTGTGGTCACTTTCATTTCAGTATCAACTTTATTTAACTTCTGATGTGATTTAGATCTAAGTGTCCCTCCAAAATCTTATGTGTTAGGCAATGCAGCAATGTTCGGAGGTGAACATATTGGATCATGAGAGCTCTAACATCATCAGTGGATTAATCCACTTGATGGATTAATAGTCTGAATGGACTACTTGGTGGTAACTGCAGCCAGGTGGGGATGCTGCTAGAGAAAGTAGGTCACAGGGGGCATGACCCTGGGGATTATATTTTGTCCCTGGCTTGCTGGCTCTCTGCTTCCTGGCTGCCACAAGCTGAGCAGCTTGCCTCTGCCACACCCTTCTGCCATGATGTTCTCCATCTCAGGACCAGAGCAATGGATTTGGCCCACCATAGAGTGGACCTCTGAAACAGGGAACCCGAAATAAACATCTTGTTGTCTAAGTTTTTTTGTCAGGTATTTTGGTCATAGTGACAAAAAGCTCACTAACACCAGCTTTCAGTGGTTAAGACATACATTCAATGTTTCCCTCTACTGAGGGACTGGGTACATACTCCTTGAAAAAAATCAGAGATCCATCTGACTAGCCAGTTGTTAGATTACTAATTTGCTCTTTTAGAAATACGAAATCCAAAGGTCTATTGAATTTAGCACATAAAGGCCATTATATGGGCCAAGGCAATTGTTATGGTTTAGATATTAAGTGTCCCCCCACACACCCACATTCATGTGTGAAACAATGCAAGAAACTTGGTGAATGATTGGGTTATAGGAGCCTTATCCTAAC